AAGAGATTTAGTTAGTTTTTTTTTTTTTTTTTTGCATAACTAATTACATTCAAGTCTTGATTATAGTTGATTTTTCAGTTATTGTTGATCATATGCCTATTTCTTAATAAATATTATACTTGAATTTTTTTACACAATTTTTTTGCAGCATCAAAAGATCACTGATAAAAAATTGCCTTGCTCTTCAGCAAAACAGTTTTAGTATTTATTCATGAAGAGAACAAATGATAATTGATTGTATCTTGTTGTTTGAATTAAAGTTTATGTCAACAGAAATTTCAATCAAATAGTAGCAAAATTATTGCTTACTTTTTTCATTATTGATTCCGATATCATGCTAGAATTGTAAGACTCAAACTAAGATAAGATAACAACTCTGAGCATTTTTTAATATCAAATAATTAGTAGACATGGAAACTCCCTTCAAAATAGTGTAGTAGTTTGATATATTATTTATTATTATAGTAAATTAATTAAGATATGCAAAATTTTGGCATTTTTTTTTTCAACGCAAAATGTGCAAAATTTGTAATGTTATTGCGAATAGCAGAAAATGGGTAAATCAGTGAGCGATTCGAGTGTAACAATCAAAACAGCAACTCAAGCAAATACGGGGTCAGCAAGTCATTCATCTGACTGTTCAAGAAGAACACTTGCATCAACTGCAACAGATCAAGAAAAAACATTGGTGCAAAGTCAAGATAATTCTGAACAATTTTTAAATTCTGAATTTGCTGTACAACATGGTCCTGGTTACAATTGGTTGATCGCCGCAATTATTATTGTAGCTGATATGGTTGGTGGGGGACTTGTTGCTATGCCAGCTGGATTTCATGATACAGGTTTCATATGCAAAGCTTCTGCTGCTTCTTCTTTTGGCTTTTGTTCTAAGTAATCAAAGCTGAGTATTTCAAAGCTAACAATTAAACAAATCATTTTAAGTTTAATTTTTGCTTGTTAAAGATTTCAATTTTTGAATTTTCGCAAGAAATGATTTATTTTTATTTTTCCCTTTAGTTAAATGTCAGGCATAAAACTGCAAATAGCTGTATTTGAATATTTTATCCATGCATTATAAAGTTGTTAAATATCACAACCAATAATAATAATAATAATAATTTATTATTATTATATAATATTACATGATATAATAATATAATATAATATAATATAATATAATATAATATAATATAATA